GCCATTTGCTTGCTCCTGGGCTGAAGTCAGCGGATCAAGTACTGTTGCCATACAGAGACCAGTATGAGAGACCAGGACGTCAGAAATCTGGTACAGAGACAGGCAGAAATACTATGCTGACCCACACACAGTCTCAGGCTATGCCTGGCGACCGTGGGCTGTGTCGCCTCGGTTTGGCTTTTGCCTCTCACGTGGCAGTGGCTGACGCTACTGTCTCTGAGCCTTGGAAGCATCTCCTAGAACTCCCATGTGTGTTGATGATAGAAGAGGCTCGAAGCTAGAACAGTCTCGTAGAATATTCTTGCTGGCGGTGGTAGGGCAATTAGGAGACGATTTGATTTACGGTCTGACTTCAATTGGCAACTGCATCATTGTGGCTGGTCCGACGTCACCAATTCCGAGTCATGTGTGGTCCAAAGCGTCTTCTCAGGGCCTACTAGGAACTTGTAGTGTTTTGACTGGATTGCCGAGTTTTGGTTTTCACATCAGAGTCGCTTGAGCTTGGTAGCACAAAACGTGAGGCCAAACCCAGCACGTTGGGGAACTTTACGGTTTTGCTCGTGAGGAAGTATCGATCTTGGTGAAGATCTGATAGCCGACATATTACGCCTAAATTCTGAAATCCTAAACCCTGAGGAATTGGCTGCTGGCTGTCACTTATTCGCTCCAATTGAGCTACATCACCTGCAAATACGCTGCAGATCAGTTCGGAGCAGCCACTTGATGCGGATGTAAGGGGTTTAGGGTCGCAGGGGTTCCTGGACACTGTAAAGCCTGCACTGTTTAGGGCTCCTTAGGAATAATAGTAATTAAGTTTGAGGCCGGCGGAAGCCCCCCGGAAAGGTGTTCATTATAGGAGCCTCCTCAAACTGATTTAGGAGTCTCAATGACACCGGGCAAACTTTGCATTATGCCCCCTCCCGCATAAATCAGCCCTTTACATGACAGGTTTAGGAAATGAGGGCTTAGGGTTAATGGGTTTTGGGACTTTGGGTTTAGGGTATAAGGGTTCCAAGTATTGAGACCTCAGGCTAAACGGCTTTATGGCTGAGGAGGTTCTCAGTTTAAGTAGATTAGGGTGATTAGGGGTATCTTTGTTTCTTTCGGCGTTCTTACGAGATACCCTGCGCCGGATCCTACATTTTTGGCTCTATGAGTCTGTGATGGGCACCCTTGTTGCTGACACTCGGATTGGTGACGTAGGACTCTATGTTTCGGATCGTAGGACTTGGGCCCCGATTCCCAAACCCAAGTAACTTCGAAGCCCTCTTGGGCTCCCTCGGCTCCCACTCAAAGTATCTTGGCTGAGACTCTGGGTTCAGAGCGGGAGGAGCGTTCGGGTCCGGGGACAGGTGAAGTAGGTGCATAGGGGATCATAGGGGTATACTGTACTATATATATACTTCTTTTGGTGCTATGTATACTATATATGCTTTTTATACTATATATACTACTGCGACATATACTGTATTTACTACTCTCCAGCTAATGTGGCTAGGTTAGAGAGGACGAGACCTGCCGAAAGCTTGAAGGTGATGTCTTTCAGTACTGTGATGCAGAGTGTCATCAACGTGGCTTGGCACCCTTTGTAGGGAGAGGGGAGGAAGAGGGCTTCTGCATATTGGGCTCGTTTTTCATACGAAAGACGGTTTTCTGTTGCTGGTGATTCCGGAGTCTTCAGAGCTGTAAACATGCACAGCCCTGTTATTGTTTCAGAGCTCAGAGAGGCGATGTTGCTTGGGACAGTGGTTCGCGGTGGGAGCCTACGGTCTGGACTAGACTGACTCTGCAGGTAATCGGGGTCGTCAGGATCTTTGGGATCCGCGCCATCGTAGAGTTCGGCCGAGCAGCATCTAAGTTGATTGGCGTGTACCTGCTGAACTGCCCCCCTTCGCGTGCGGCAGTGACTCGGCACTGCACCCGTGAGGTTCATAAGCTCTCATGCACCCTGATTTCGACCAACACAATCCTGGCTACGAGTCGTAAGTTCATTGGGTTGGGTTGGAATTCAATCTTCTGAACTCACGGTCCCATGTCCCTACCAAGCCCAGCACGAATTTCAACCACCTTTCCAATACCTACTGTACTCATATCTGAAAGCTTGCAGCTGGAGTTCAAACAGCATGCAGGGGGCCGCGATGGTGTAACCGCGGTACTTTGAGACACCAGGTATTGGTACTCTGCTCTCAAGCTAGCTCTCGACTCTACACCTGAGACTTTGACTCTGAGAACCTGCTTACCACACCTTGCAAGCATTGAATTTATTCTTATTTCGGAAACCCATTCAAGTCGAAATTCTCAACCTTTATCCCGAGTTTGGGAGCCTCAGTCACTTCCTTTTATACGTCAGACTTCTTGCTTCGGGCGCGGCAGAGTAGCTCCCCCTCCCATCTCTTGCTCGTTCTCGACCCTGCAGCCTTCATCGCCTAAACCCTGGGGCAGATATCATCGGAAGGGAAACTCAGTTAGTTGCGGATGCAACACAGTTTGAGGCTCGATGCTTTGGGGTTGCGGACCGGATGTAACGTGTCGAGCCGGGCTGTTGCAGGTCGGAGTCGCTCCGGATGGGGTAATTCTGCATGCGTGTCGCATGCGTAGTTGATGCATCGACTCATCAAATAACCAATCCACTCCGAACCCTGCCAGACCTAATCAGCCAGAGAAGGCCTAACACAGCAGACCTGCAGTTCTTCGGGCTGCAGGTTTTCTATCTTTGGGGCTTTGCTATCCTCTAGATTTAATCAGAAACCCACAAAACCTTATTCTGAGTATTCAGGCCCTATTACATTACCCACCGAGGCCTGCTTCGTCCCTGCCTGCGTCTTCTTCTGTGCCCTCTGGGCCCGGGACGAGCGCAGAGGTGTCTGATCCCAGCATAGGAGGCCAAAGGGACAGAAGCACGCCCCTAAACCCTATAGATCCTTAAAGGAACCCTTATAGATCCCTTTAACGGAACCCTTTAAACACCGCATTTAGGAATTTTAGGGCCTCAGGTTTGGGAAGTTTATCCGCGGGTGCCATAGCCATAACCTTACACACCAAGCTTGAATGAGCTGCCCACTGGCCTCCACGCACAGTAGACAGGTGAAGGTTTCAGGGTCAAGTGACGGCTTTTCAAGCACAGACCCTACATCCTGAACCTTAAAACTTAAACCCTACACCCCAAAACCCTAAACCATTAACAAAATGCTTTCGAGCACCAGTTCAGTGATGGAGACTTTCATGTCCCAGAAGCCTTCCTGGATTTCCCGTGGGCTGACGGAGTGTGCGAGTTTGTGGCAGGACCCAAGATTCCAGACACCGGTAGGGCTCAGAGTTCAGTTCAGTATGAAGGGGTTGGCTTCATTTAGAACTCGGGGCTTGAGTCCTTACGGGTTCATTGGGCTAGTTGGCAGTTGGAACCCTGTACTTTCGAACTGAGGCAGAGAAGGCAAACACAGGCATAGACATGCCAAACCCTAGACAACATCACAGCTCCAGGTGAGGAGCTCGCACCAGATCCCCCAACCTCTACTATCCCAACCCCTCAGTTTCAGGCAAAAGCCCATGCGCGCTCGCTTCGATGCCCCACTTCCGAACCCATGCCCAGTTTGTTTGAATAGGGGCTTCCTGGATGTTTCTCTTCGGAAACAAGGGAAGCCCGCTACAACATGGACCCCCAACTAGACCTTAGCTCAGGGTAATGTGAACATCACTGGAGCTAACTTCAGCTGTGGATCGAGGCATGAGAGAAGCAAAAACCTCGCAAGCCGAAGCCCTTTCTCGTAACGAGACGTTCATTTTTTTCAGCTTCATGCAATTAGGCTCAAACGTGTTGCGTTTGGGCAGGTAATGGCACCTGTACACGCGCTGATGATCATGATGACGGTACTAATGCTGAGCGTAAACATAATCCCCATCACATCATCATCACCCGTCTTCAATGGCACCATCATCATCACCGTCATCATAACCATTATCATCATCACCATCACCATCACCATAGCACAGTTACTGCATCGTCAGTTTTGCGCCCACACCAACAGCAAGAGCGAACATGCATCAGGAACCACGAGAGGGTGCAGCAACGACGACGTCGACGCTGGGGATTCCCGACGATGACGACGACCACAACAACCGCAGCAGCAGCAGCAGCAGCAGTAGCGCCCGCCACCAGCGCCGACGACGACAACAAGAACAGCAAGTGTTGCGTCGTAGTCGTAGTACTGTTCGTACTATGAAATCCCCTCGACAAAGAGCAGTAAACCTTTACTCCACTGCATTTGCCTGAGATCATAAGATGTCAATGATTCCAGAAATCTCTGGTGCCGATGCTGGTAAAAGCCAGCGCTCCTGCGTCAGAGAAGCTAGGGGCGAGTACAGAAAAAGATGCCTCAGCAGCGCGCCCAACCCAAACTGCCTCCACCCAGAAGGTCATGAAGCAAGTGTTAAACCCTATAAACCCTAAACTTAAAGCCCGTATCGCAGGTTCAGGCCTCCTCAACAATTCTTATACCCGGCCCCGATCACAAACTCCCCCAAGAGCAGCTGAACCTTTGCATTGCCAAATAGAAGGTTGTTTCAACAACTCTAGTATTGAGTTTACGGTCTAGGGGCTGTTTAAGGCTATACCTACGTCTGACTCCGACAGCGGCTGAGGCGGTAGGTGAACAGTCAATGTTCCGGGGTGTTCAGCTCCTGCCCCAGTAAGTGAGAGTCATTACGGGTCTCAGGGTTTAGGGTTTATGTCAGCTCAGGGTTTAGGGGCCTAAAAATTCTCGAAGTCCCTTGGTTCAGGGCAAAGGAGACGTGGATCTGGAAAATTGTCATCGGGAGTGAAAGGAGCTGTGGTTTGCAGGTGGGTGCAAGGCAGGAGCCCGAGGGGGTAATATAGGGGCCTACAGAACTACCTATAATATCTTGGGGAGCTCCTTATTATACTTATGGTAGAATACAACCCCAAAGCCTATTCTAATTGTTTATTACCCTGGTCCTTCAAGCATGACTTGGGCTTCCGACAGGGCGGCCAGTAGGCTGGAGGGGCCGCTGGTGGGCCTACGGGATGAGGTGCTCTTGGGCGGGGCAAAAGGGAGGGGGGGGTTGCTGACGTGGGGACAATTTTCACCTGGGTTAGAGTCAATTACAGTCATTGGTTGAGCCGGGTGTTCCGCTAGTGTCGTCGGCCTGTATGCCTATCTCTTCATGTCACGTATTCAAAGATGCAGTCGCGAAGGTGTGCTAAGATTTCGTGGGACATCGTGGGACCTTATAATCTCGAAAGCTTGTGGCGGCCAGATTCCACCAGTCAGAGCTGCTCCTGAGATCATATATCATAGTATAGTGTATCTAAACATACATCCGCAATGCTCAGCTCTCGAACACGTCCAGACCCTCTCAACCCGAAGGCATGAATGCTGGGCCAGGGCTGTCAGAGAGCTGTAAACCCCAATCCTTTAACACATCCCCTAAAATCCTTTCCTCAAAACGGCATCCGAAGCTCACAGAGGATGCAATCCACAAATCGGGAGTTCTCGTAAATTGAGGGTGCGCAGAGTTTATATGGGGTTTAGGACCCCTCCCCCCAAACACCTAAAGCCTCGAATCCCAGAAGCCGCGTCAGTTGGGTACCCGCACCTCAGAGACGCTGGTGGCTGGCCGCGAACCGGCGCTGCTCGGCGAGGGCTTGCTCTTCAGGATAACCTCAGTTCCTTCTTTTGCTGCTGAGGGTGTCTCGCAAGTGTTTACTATAGGGGCCTGAATAATTACTGTAGGGGGGTTCCTTAGGATAATGATGGTATAATGTACAGTAACCTAAAAAGCCTGTTCTAACTATAAAGGCCCTTCAAGCACCTAAGTTACCTCATTCGCCCCGAAGAGGCTGCCAGACTTGCGATGCGAGGTACCGACTTTTTAAAGTTGCGGGCTAAGGATCGCCGGAGTTGACATTCGGGGATCATGCTCGTTCAGGTCTACGGGTTAGGCATTAAACTTGTCATTAGTAGCAACAGGGCTATGTAGTGCACGATTGGTTCGTCTTCTCTGAGCAGCATGTCCAGATTGAGGTATAGATTCAGCACAGCATCCCCAATAACTTCGACAGACCATTCCTTTCCAACCCAAGCCCACAGCCAGCAGAAAGGGCTTCGAGGCCTCGGGCAAAAGCCAGCCCTCACATATTTGTATCCCTGGCCCTATAGTTCTAGATCTCAAAGTTCGATCAGTTCCACGCAAGCCTGCAATCTCCGAACCTGGAGAGTCCTATGCTGGCCGCTAAACAGCATATATTGGTACCGATGGAAGTAAAACCGTAAGTACGCTTGTAAAACCATGACACTACAGGCATTCAGACTCCTGCCATTGACCAACATCATCTGTAACCTCGCATACAAACCGCGAGCCTGAGGAACATGCTTTCCAAATTCAAGCGTGCCTTATTGCTAGATGGTATAACCCCGGCGAAGTTTTCATAAACCTGTTAAATCAAAGACAAAATCCTTTGCCCAAATCTCTCTTGCTGCAGAAAATCCCAACCCCTGAAACCGAAGCCCCCAACTCCAAATCTCTCCTGCTAGAGGCTTCTTCACATGGGATCGGTGGTTGCTGTGGCCAAGCCAGCGGGGTGGGAGGCTAGAGTGGCTAGAGTTCTTCGGGGGGGTGTAGAGGGTTCTTGTGGCTTTATGGGGTGTTTGCAAAAGTTGGTGTGGGCTGTGAAAGTCACACCACTTCCTCGAGGGGAACGGACAGGCTGCGAGATTCCTTAGACTTAGACTCTTAGGCTTTGGTCTCCACTCAGAGTCACGTATGGGGTTCGGTTTTATACACCCTATTAGGGTTTAGAGTTTAGGGTTTAGGATCAGTATGTTGACAGTTGTACGACTGTTTCCCAGTAGCAGTCTGAAGGCACAGATCAGTCAGGCAAGGTGGCAGGTGGGACAGGGCGCCCGAACCTTTGTGAGCCGGCGAGCGGTGCAAAGGTTTTGGATGCTGCTATAGGGGCCAAAATAAGTCAGTATGATTATTGTATAATACTCCCCCAAACCCTATGCTAATCATTACTGCCCCTAAAGTATCTGTCAGATGTCGAGCCTGGGGTTGGAGCGGATGATGCAAGCGTAGTCTGGACACTCGAGGACTCGAGGCTACAGTTTCGCAGGGAAGGCTGATTTCTGGAGTCTGAACAGCATTGCCAAGGTGCAGCCGTAGGAATCCGTGATGAACTAGTTGGATGCTTGGATGGAGGGCCGTTTGGGTTTACTGTCGATATGTGATCCAAGTCTTCCCTAATCTTCCCTGCAGTCGTCATCCTGAGCTCCAGCCCTGAACTTGTACAGGGCACAGCAAGCGTTGCTTGGAGCATCCTTTCGGAGGTGTGGGGTGGCCACCATCCGCGGCAGCTGTGGCAGCACTTGCAGGCTCGTCCGTGTGGTGATCTAAAACTCTAAAACCACGCCAGCAACGACATGGGCCAAGGAGGTTTGGCGTGTAATGCTTCAGCAATCCTACAGACTGAATGAACCGCACAGCCTCGCCCTTTTTCCCGAGGCCGCCGAGGGTCTGCGCCATAGCATCCTCCGCGATGCAGAGCATGGGCACGGTGGCTCGCATAGCAGAAAGAGTTGTCCAAGTCCGAGAATAGCAGTAGCAGTTGCACTGGGCCACGACTGCTACTGCTACTCCCACTATTACTAGTGCTATTACCATGACTTCTACGTCCATGTCTACTATTGCTCCAACCACCACCACCGCCGCCGCCACCACCACCACCCCCGCCGCCGCCACCACCACCACCACCACCACCACCACCACCACCACCACCACCACCACCACCACCACCACCACCACCACCACCACCACCACCACCACCACCACCACCACCACCACCACCACCACCACCACCACCACCACCACCACCACCACCACCACCACCACCACCACCACCACCACCACCACCAGGAGGAGGCGGAGGCCGTGGCATCGCCCCGACTTTCAGCTGCGTATCTTGAGTGGGCCGGCTTTCACTGCCTCATCCCCGGGTGACTTCAGGCGGAGCAGTGCTGATGGGGGGTATGCGGTGACAGTCTGTCCACACGCGTGTGTTGGACACACGTCACTTATTCTCCTCCTCTGCACTGCCCTGCAATCTGCCGACGGGTGCTTCCTCTTTTCTGCACTGCACCGTGGCACTACCTGCGCTTTCTTTTGTACATTCTCAAGCTATCATGCTTAAAGGCTCTACGGGGCGGTGATAGCTTTGTCTGGTTCCCGTGCATACCACTGAGTATGTGCTGTCAAATGACGGCCGGGGCGGCTACAACGGTCGTCCTGACAAAAATCTGTACGCACGGCTTGGACTCCCTAGCTGCGAGTGAAACGAAACCACCACCAGCCCTGCAAGACAAGTTCAAGCTTCATCGCAAACGAAGCGGCGGAGACACCCAAAGGCTGACATGGGGCAGACCTGTATGCAAAGGAATTGCCATCCTTGTTTTCAACTCATCGCATGCCTGGATGCACGTCAAAATGCAGCCTTCGATCCGAAAGCGGCGCCCTAAATTTGCGCCTCCAGACTTTTGCCTGAAGGCCTGGTCTCCCTCAACGGGTGAATCGCAACCTATACCCGAAAGGGCTGCCTTGAAGCCGTCAAACCACCCGAACCCGTTCCAAACCAGAAGTGACCCTGAAACTACGCCTCGACACAAGACTATCCACAAACCCCAACTTAGTTTTACCGGACGCTACTACAGACGTCAAGTGCCCCCGAGTCAGAAGTGACCACCCCACACCCAGGTTTCGTGCACCGGCTGGATGTGCCAGGAAGTGGGCTGGTTCTCTTTGCTTGCAGTTACGAGGTGCCTCAGCGCCTCAAAGGTTTTGTGGTTCTAGGAGGCAACTTCAGAGCTTCAGGATTTCACTAGTAGGGGGCCAGGAGGATTTCAGAATTAGTCCTGCAGACTTTTGTTTAAGTCTCAGTCGCTGCCGGATGCGCTGAGACGATCCAGTGTTGCATTGAAGGCTTCTTGCTAGTCTGCTAGTCTTTCAAACAGCACAATTGCCAGAGACCTAACTGGTACGACCAGGGTCTAGCGTTTTCGGACTGCGACTTTGGCCTTGTAGGCTGATGTACTTATGAGACTTATCATGCGGCACAGTTCCGGAGCACGTGTCCCAAGACCTGCAACCAAAACACTTGAGAACCGTGCTCCATGTCAAGATGCACAACGCCCAGCCCGAACCCAAATTACAGACTGGAGAAGGCCTACTACGACCTTAAGCTGCAGCTGGCCCTGGGGCAACTCGAGCGGCGCTACACGGTGTCCCTTGGAAGTCGGAAGGAGAAGCTCCAGCTACTGCGGCCGTCAAGATGCGCAGGGTGTTGCGAAGTCTCCACCTTGGAAACTACGAATACTACCAGAGCCTCATACTCTACGCTTTGCATTGGGTGAAGATCTTAAATCGAAAAGAAGTTACACAACAGGAAGCCGCAGAGCAGAAGCTATGCCGACAGGAGTTGAAGAGTTCGGCTTTGAAGTATACCTAACGTACGTGTTGAAAGCGAATCATCCGAGGCTCAGCCACGGCTTGGCGACCACCAGGAATGTCACCGCCCATGTGCACTGGAAGGACTGCCCTCAACCCAGCGTCGCGTTTAAACCCACAAAGGAAACCAAGGCCAGAAACCATACAGGCCGCGCCTACCCGTGTCCACCAGCAACTGAAATCTTTGTCACATCGGCTGTTCACCGACCCTCTCGCCTGTGACCTGCCAGATTCAGAGTGCGGCTGTGTTAACGACTTGGCTCTGTCTCTCTGTTGCTTAACACGACTTGCAGGGGAGGCACATAGAGATGTTCAAAACACGTTGAGCATGTTGCAAAGCGATGACTAACATGCAGCAGAACGAGTTGAGCCGGGGAATGTATGAAGAAGATCGCCTGGAAACCTCTCCAGCAAGTATGCAGATGTTGTACCAGCCTTGAGCTAGTGAGCGGAAGCTGCCCCTAGCACTAGCAGCTTTAGCAGATGTTACAGTGGCAGTGGCAGTGGCCTTTGTCGGTCGTAGCCGTCTTTGTTTGTAGCTTTTACTGGCTGTTGTTTACTTTCTTGTAGTGTTTCTGTTCTTGTCGTTGTTGCTGCTGGCTTCCGGAGATGTTTTGGTAGCGATGGTGATGATGATCACGAAGAAGAAGAACAAAGCAAAGTGACTTTGAACTTTTGACGGTGACGACGGAAAGCTTGACGACATTAAGAAGAAGAAGACAACAACAGCAACAGCAACAAACAACAACACCAACGACACCAACACCAAGAGCAACAACAGCAGCAGCAGGCACATCCGCAACCACGACGACAACGACAACGACAACAGCCACAGCGACGACGACGACGACGACGACGACGCCGGCAACAACAGCAACAACAAGAACAACCCTAGCAGCAACAACAACAACCACATAAACTTAAACACATGTGCGTCCTTGCGTATCTGAAGTGTTTCCCCACTGGCTGTCACTTAAGCACACAAGCTCTCCCGCACTCGCTGAGCCTTCACGCTCAGCCCAGCCAGGATCCAGTTTGCAGAAATCCCGATAAAACCCTTCGTAGACCGAAGCGCTTCATCCTTCAAATCTTATTGCTTTGGGTCAGGATCGGGGACCCAATGGCATCCGTGAGCTGCCTAGTGTCTCCGGTGGCCGAGGGAAGCCTTGCGGTTTCTGGGACGAAATTAGATTTGGAGCGTTGGGGCTTAGTTTCGGACTACGGTCGCGGGTAGAGTGCATTAGGGCTCGGGTTCCAGGTGGGGTCGTGTGGGATTCGAGGATAGTGCAGCGTCGGATGCATTTCAGGCTTCAGGCGCTCGGCATTCAAGGATCGAGTGTTTCGGGTTCACTTGCACAACAAGTGGTCGGGGATCCCACTTGCAGGCCCGAAACGGAGACACCAACGGTTTGAATGCAGATGTGTGCGTGTGTGCGTGCGTGAACCTACTTTGAGATGTGCTTTCATGTGCATTCAGCGTGGAGGCTCGAGCATGTCGTAAGCAGCTGCTAAGTGACATAGTTGCCCATCATCTTGCAGTCGGGCCGATTTCAGTAGCAGTTCTGAGGACTTTTCTTTTTCCTGATGACAACTGACCTCCAACTCAGACCCTCTCCTCTGACCCTGCTGGTTCCTGCAAACGGCCCAACCGGTCGAATTCCCAAACCTTAAAGGCTTAGCTCAAACCTATTTGAGTCCGAGCGTTTCAGTGCAAGGTACCGAGATAATGCTGCGGGCACATGGCTTCAAGGAGGGTCGAGCGCCCTGTTCCAAGAAGCTTCAGCTTCGGATTCCTGGGTCCGGGGCTCGTAGTTCCGAGAGGTTCATTTTCATGCTTTCGGGTTGGACCTGCTGTTGGAACGCCTTAATCAGTCCATTTGGTTCACGTGGATATATCTCTGTATAAACACACATGCGCGTAATTTCAAGTATTTCGTATAGACATATGCACATACATGTACAAATCTAATCTGTATGTGTGTCCGTATATACATGTATAATGTATACGTACCAAAATATGTGCACCCACGTGTGTAGTGGTTTAACAAAATGAACAGTCGAGTGCCATTGGCCTTCATGTGTGAGGCGCTGTCGTTGCTCACGATTCGGATCCGAACTGGACGGCGGCATCAAATCCGGTCTCACTGTGCGCATATCGGTCCCTGGCATGCATTCGAGGACGGCTTGAAACCTATGTATGGTCAGAGGAGGTCGCATGGCACAGGAACAGTGCACATTGTAGCAGAGGTCATCCCAGTGTCTACGACGGCAAGTATTCCACTTTGGACACCTCCTTTGGCGATGCCAAGTGGTGTGAGCAGAATTGCTGCTCAGAAGCACCAAGACCAAAGCCACTTCTTGTGACCCTTCGGAAGCTCAGGAGTTCAGGCTTGCTGCTTGGAGCGTTCGCGTGGCCGGTTTAAGACTCACAGGTGGCAGAAGCATCTAGCCGAATTCACAACGAACATCGAAGTCTCACGAATCAGAGGGAGGAGGTTGAGTTACTGGTAGCTGCTAAGTGTGGGGGCTTGAAGATGCATGACAGTCGGGGTCTGAACCTCGCATCTAGCCTATTGATCGCATACCCTCTCAAGCCTATGTATCGCGTACCCTCCCAAACACTAACCTACATAGCTACTTTCCTGAATCCGAGTACCCAGGTTCTAATTCTGAGCATAGGGTTTTTGCAAGGACTGGGTTGGCAAGCCCAAAACCATTTCCTACAGCACCTGAAGCCGCAGGACCTTGGGTTTCAGTCCCATAGTCATGACTTTGTGTCGCAGTCAGCATTACTGTCATGAAGTACCACTATAAACGAGATTCTAAGGTTCTAAGCTTTGGGGCTCCGTCTAGAAAAGCCGGAAGCCCAAAGCTACGCTGCTACACCAGCTTGAGGCCTGCATCGTTCCCAACTCATCTTCCGGTCACAAGGGCGACTCCGTGAGGCCGCCCAACTTAGCTTTGGTTAGTAGGGAAAGGGGTCTATAAGGGTTACTATAAGGGTTACTATAAGGGGACTACAAGGGATCTATAAGGGGACTATAAGGGATCTATAAGGGGACTATAAGGGATCTATAAGGGGACTATAATATAGGGGTCTTAATAATCCTTTCACTTACCTTTGGTTAGTAGGGAATGGAGGAATGTGGTACAATGATAACTACTATCACTACCAGTCTTGCATTCCCTACTGACCAAAGGTAAGCCAAGAAACCAAAAAATGCCGAGTCGGTTGTATTGGTTGGACCTGCAGATGAGGAGCATGAAGCTTGGGATATCAGGCGGTGTTGCCTTATTTGGACTCCAAGCAGTTTATAAAGTTATAAAGAGTCCTTGTTGTAGGTAACGCAACGTTTGGGTGCTCCAAAACCGTTCGACTCTATGTCTGGATAACTATACACCTGGTCAGCATCCACTGGCCTCAAGTTTTATGGTGTTATCCGTGCCAGAACACACAGAAGTACCGTGACCCCCGAAGAGACGAAGTACGTAGCAGTAGACAGAATTAATCAGCTACGACACAGTATGTAAACTTCGCGAAGATGCAGTGAGAGTCAGAGAGAGGACGTACATCGCGCGGTCTGCAGTCCTCAGAGACTGTCAGGATCGTCGTCACATGGTTTTGTATGCATGCACTGTGTGTCGCAGTGTGTTGCCTAGTTTTTCATAGGCATATCCGGACGAGTTACTAAGTATGACATGATCATGCGAGCGTAGAAAGCAAACGTGAGCTCCCCCTTCAGTACTAGGCGAAGCAAACAACAAGCATGAGCTTGATCCGAAACACACAGCTAGACAGCCCAATCGCGCAACACCCGACCTTTGGGAAGCATCCAAGTGACTGCAACCGTGATTCCTGAATCCCTAATGGTTCAGAACCCCTCAAAAATCGAAATCCTCCCCAATGCTCAAACCCTGAGCCTTGAATGCATTACATCATTGCATTTTTGGAAAGCTTCTTCCCCCTCGCCTTTGTTTTGCAGATGCTTGCGCCGCTTCCCGAGCCCTTCGCAAAGCTCCTGCAGGCTAGCTTGCGGTTGCGGGCTTAGGGTTTAGAGTCTGGGGTACCTAAACCCCAAACCGGCTACGACAGGGCTTATAGGGTTCCGAAAGCGATTCCCCAGCACATTTTTTTCTCTGAAAATCTCAGGCACTAGCGCTGAAGGCAAGATGCAAAGGTTGTCAAACTAGGAGGGGCCGACTGTGGGGGTTCTGTCTTGGCCTTGAAAGCCTTTCGTATATTTGATTATCCGAGCTGCCTTTGTGCCAGACCCTCGAGAAGAAAACCCTCGAGCAGTCTTGGGGCACACTCTGAGGCAGAGACCCGAAGGACCTAGTAATGGGTTTAGGGGTTGAGGGGTTTGCCGAAAAGGGTGCCTTGATTTTGAGAGTTCCGCGACGGTTTGCCAGGTTTGGTATCTGCATCTTTGAGGTCTTCTCGGGCTTTACTACTGCTGCAGCAACAACAACAACCACAACACCGACAATATTACTAATTGAGGCAACACCAACAACAGCAGCAGCAACAACAGCAACAACAGCAACAAACCACAACAACTACTGCTATCACGAATACAATCACTTTATCCTATTACTACTACTACTACTGCTACTACTACTACTCCTACTGCTACTGCTACTGCTACTGCTACTGCTACTACTACTACTACTACGACGACGACGACTGCTCGTACGCTTACTTACGACTACTACTACTAATTTACTTTCTACGACAACTACTACTACCACTTCTACTGCTGCTGCTACTGCTACTACTACTACTGCTACTGCTACTGCTACTGCTACTACTACTACTACTGCTACTACTACGGGTACTACGACTACTACTATTACTACCACTTCTTCTACTTCTACTACTGCTACTCTGGAAGGACCTCGGTTTGTCACTGCAATCGCTTCACACTTTGGTGAGTGAGCTTGACCAGTGCTCTGGGGCACGGCTAGCTGCTGTAGTTGCGGTTTCGAGTATGCTTCAACTAACAAGGGCTCTGGCCGCAAGCGGGCTGCGCTTCACTTGATCTCTGCTGCAAACTGGGGAACAGAATCAACACTGCACATGCCACAAGCAAATAGCTACTCCTGCTGCTGGTGCTGCTTCTGCTACTACTACTACTACTACTACTACTACTACTACTACTACCACCACCGCTACTCCTCCCGCTGCTGTGCTACTACTACTACTGCTACTACCACCACTACTCCTGCTGCGGCTACTACTACTACTACTACCACTACTACTACTACTACTACTACTACTACTACTACTACTACTACTACTACTACTACTACTACTACTGCCACTACTACTACTATGTACTCCTACTACTACTGGTACCACCTTTTCTATTGCTAGCACGCTGCTATGTTGCTGTGTAGTCATATCATCCGGGTGCTGCCACACTCTTCTAAAGCCTCGAATCTTACACATTATGCTCGGCACGACCGAACAGGTGGCTTTTGTGCGGCGCTCCTCAGTGCTTCGGATCAGGAGGGCGGGTGCCCTCCAGCCTGTGAACGCTGCAAAAGTATGCCTGAGAAAGCGACCGCCTGGAGTTTACAAGCTTGTGGCTATCGTTGACTTATCATGGTATCCTGGATTGGTGTCCTACCGCTGAGTCTCGCAAGTAGAGATGCGGGAGTATTGAGTTTGTTTGGGCTCGAGCCAGAAGAAGCTGTTCAAAGTGTTTGGATGTGTCCGGCTGTACCATCTGGAATCTTCTCGAAACTACACAGGCCATGTTTCTGCAGGTCGTCACAAGGAAAGCCCTTCAACATGTTTTGCTAGGTCCCCTGGTTGTGTGGACTGGGAGGATCTTCTCGGTGAAGGTTCAGGCCAAACAAAGGCCCAGTGTTTTGGGGAGTTTCAATCTGTGTCTGAGGGCTTCAACCATCCTGCCGCTGGTCCAAGAGCCCACCATCCTCCACCATCAGCAGAACCAGGGTATAAAGTGCTACTTACGAGCTTGCTATGGGTACGACTCGAGACGCCCAGCGAATCTCGAAAACCTAATTCTGATACCTAGACTGTAGCACTGCTATAGCCTTTTCTGTCGCGAAACTCGGAGACTGACTTGCCCGAAGAAGTCGAGCTGCGTGAGAGTCTTCAGCGCTGAGTTTGGCAAGAACTCAAGCCCAAAACCCTGTGAGCCCTGAACTGCCAGAAGCCTCGGTAAACCCAAGCGCTCACCCGGAGTCCCCCAACTCCGACTGTGCAGGGTCTACGAAAAATACCCCAAATCCCAAGGCCGGCAGTGTAGAGGCAAAGCCGTGAGCATGCATATCCAACTGGATTACTGAAATCCCCGTGAGGGTCCTGTAGACGTCGTAGCTGGAAAGTTGTAGACAGAAGTAGACACGGTTATGAGTGTCGCTTTCGGATGAATGCTTAAAGTCTTAAAGGCTACACCCCAATCCCCATACACTTCGGCGCTTTGGCTGCTGGGGCTGAGGCACCAATCGGCTTATTGTGCGATTGATCGACAGTGGTGATCAGCACCCTTGATGCACACAGCCGTTGCCCTCACATGTCGGAATGCCCACCAGCTGTTACAATGTTTGCTTCCAGTGTTTCAGAGAAGTAGCACCGGGAAGTCATGCGCGACAACGATTCCAAGTTCCGAAGTTCCAGACTCGAAACTACCACAGCCGGATTTGGGGAAAAGCTCTCTTCTTGAAGTAGGTTTATACGAGATGGAAGTCGTAGAGCATTCCCGTCTTCTCAGCCATCGTTGTCGTCCTTGCCCAGCCAAGAAAGCCTGAGTCCCGAACCGCAAAATCCTCCTCGTCTCAACAGCCGCGAGCTCCAACCCGAAGCGATCACACACCTTTTCAGACGCCAAGGTATGCAGTGAAGCCTGACAACCTCAGGAGCCACTGCCTTTCTCAGGAAAGCAAGTTCGGTGGTGGCCAGTTTAGGGTTCAGCATGCCATAACTAAATCCTAAACCGTCGCAGGGGGTTTGGGCGGGACATGAGGATGGTTCTAGTGCGTTCCTGCATGTGTGTGCGACGGGTCCCGAAATGTCTTCACACGTGCGCCATGCGTCACCTCCTGTAAAGAGACACACACGCATGGTAATGCTAGGATCTGGAGTACTATACTACACGACTGTGTTTGCTATTGTTATAAATTTCTTCCTTGAGGAACCGTTACAGTACGAAGTTCAGGTTTATGCTTTTTCTCCTCGCTTGCTTCAAAGCCCAGATCGGCGTGTCTGCTGCGCATGACGAACCAGGCGTGAGAGACACACTCCCTGTCTTGAATCTCCATCCTGGCTATGCCATTTCAGTGAATAGCCCAAACCTTGGAATCGCCAAATCGCTCAGCAGAGTCAAAAAAACAACCGAGGGAGTGAATGCCTTGCTGTGCAGTACAGCAACATGAAGAATCTCCAAATGCTGCGGCTTGGTAAGGCTGTGGTATCCACTGGGCCATTCGGCTTTGGGTGAAATCAGGCTACCAAAGGTTTGCGCCACAAAAGGCTGTTACCAAAGACCGTTACCATTGCCAGGACAACCAAGGAAGAGGCCGAGAAGTTGATGGAAAGCAACCTCGAGGATTCCTTCAGGGCTTAAGGCTTGGGGCTTCTAGAGTGTACTATAGGGGCATAAATAACTACCAATACTACTGTTATAATGATTGTAGTACCCCACCCTATTCTAACTGTTAAGGCCCCGATAGTAGCCGAGTTGGGCGGGAAGACTTAAACTTAAATAGCATTGCGCAGGTACAGGATCGTGCTGCTAGGCAGGTAGCCACACTAGCAGTTGTTGCGATCCTGCTTCTTGCGCTGCTGATCTTGCTGGACATTGCCATTGCGATCGCATCACCGCCATAGACATGCAGTCAAACCAAGATTGGCAAGAACGGGAACCCACTTCAACTGCACTTTTAACCCTTTCTCAGCAACGATACAGAAGCCGCCGGGAAAAGATCAATATTTGAAGGGAGAGGGCTAGAGTCGCAAGGGTCGGGAGGGTTCAGGGCTGAAGGCTGCCTACAGGAACTGGAGGCAGTAAATCGTTCAGCATGCCTCCGCCCGCCTTTGCTGAAGGCAGTACAAGACGACCTACTGTCGGTTTATGGGTAAAGAGCCCCTACCTAAACTGCAGAAAGCATTTCAGAACAGCTTCTCCCAAGCCCTGAACCTTCAGAAGCAATCTTGGGCAGGATGTCTCCATCTACAACCCTGCTCTCCAGTCCGAGGTTGGGAGCGGGGTGTGGAGACTAAGGCAATCGGGGTACAGGGTTTGAGGCATTTAGGGGTCGAGTCATTTTGGGGCTTAGGGCCCTTCGGGGTCTTGGGGTTGCATGTTCTGCTGCCTTGCAGAGGCTCTCAGCTTATCCATAGCGTGTGGACCATTTAGATAGAGACTCCCCGAGTCGATCAAGCTTGAACGTGTAGTCTGCGACGTAGGCCTTCATACCCCACATGCCCTTTCCTCCGCTCACGCTGGAGCCTTGAGCCTGAGCCATCAAGCTGAAGCTGCAGTGAAACCCCGGACCCTGGGCGTAAGATACCCTTCAAGCTTCGCAGCCATGCAGGCGCAGAAGCTCCGAGAGTGAGGGGCTCAGACTGGCCCTTTCTTTTCATGTGCCTCGCATTGTACCCCCCCCGAGCACTAAGCCCGAAAACCTTTCTAAGTCGTGTCAGGGTTCTTCTCTTAGCCTGTTTCTGACGACGACGACGACGAGGGTGGTCGCAGGACCATCCGCAGGGATCGGCTTGAAGGCCAGAAGCTAATCCCCCGAAGCCTGGCCTTCTATAGGGGCCTTAATAATTACCTATACTATTTTTCAGGCGTTGGGATCAAACCTGCAGGTGAGATAGGTATCGCCCGACCCCAGTGTCCGAAAGGACACGAATTTCGCCATACCCCGACCATCTCCGGTGTGGCATCGCAGGGTCAGAGCACGTCGCTCTAAGCTGCGCAGAAAGCTTTGGAGAGCCCGAATCTTCGGTGAGCCTCCCCTTACAACTGTCCCGGCTGCTTTGTCAGGGCACCACTCTCAGCCCCGATACCTTGAGGACCGTCCGACATCCTCGGTCTCGATGGGAAGGAAATGGCATCGCGGACAGCCGTGGGACCGCGACACCGACTACGTGTCCACCGACTATGGAGGATCCTACCATTTGTGGGGTGGGGCGTACTCGGCATCGCCGAAGGCTGCCCCAAAGGCCAAGTCTCGGCTGCGCTACGATCAGACCGTTGTGCCGGACCGCCCTGCGAAACCAGCCCTGCCTTCGGAGGAGGACTCTCTGGCGATTGTGGCTGGTGGCAATGGGCCCCTGTC